ATAATTAACGGATACTTAAGCTTACACATACACTAAATAATTAACGGATACTTAAGCTTACACATACACTAAATAATTAACAGATATTTTGACTCACAGAAATATTAATTAACTAACAGATACTTTAGCTCAAGCGAACATTAATTAATTAACGGATACTTAAGCTCACACATACACTAATTAACAGATATTTTGACTCACAGAAATATTAATTAACAGATATTTTGACTCACAGAAATATTAATTAATTAACAGATACTTCTACAGAATAGTCTACACTTTGTTCGAGCGACCACTAATCTACAGGTAACCAATCAGGAAACTGCTCGCTTCTGATAGGCTGAACATAAGATGCTAACAATACTTCTTGATGCATTTTGAAATTTCACTTTACATTTTGTTTTCAGGTGTTCTACTTGATAAGACAAGAAATACACTTCGTTCTGAAGATGAGTCATCCGTTCTTCCATAATACGTCTCTAGTGGACGAAATAAAACAACTACTAACGTCAACCGTCACACTCGGTATGGATGCTAAGACAGGTAGGGGAATCTAAATAAGATTAAAAAAAACTCTGAAATTTCACCAGACGACTAGCCTATGAAAAACAAGCAAAAACTTTTAACTTTAACTTTGAGTGTTATGTGGTTTAAGTAAATAATGTCTCTCATTTCCATTTTTTCTTTGAATTAAACAAAAAAGAAGAAATAGAAACATTAAGTTCAAGTAGTGAGAAAATCAGGAGTTACTATAACGGAGTTGACTTTCAAAGTAAGAAGTAGGCCTATGATTTCCTTAGTTTAACTTTATCAAAGCTCTAACATTTTTAGAATACAGATCCGAAAATGGAAATTTCTATAGTCAACAGATGTAGATTCAGATGCTTTCCAAGTCTGCTCTATAATTTCTACCAGCTGTCGGAAAGGATCTTACTGAGGATGTTGTATGTATGATGTATATATTGGAAAAATTACTGAGGATATTGTGTGTATGATGTATATATTGGAAAAATTACCGAGGATGTTGTGTGTATGATGCGTATATTGGAAAACTTACTGAGGATGTTGTGTGTATGATGCATATATTGGAAAACTTACTGAGGATGTTGTATGCATGATGTATATATTGGAAAACTTACTGAGGCTGTTGTGTGTATGATATATATATTGGAAAAATTACTGAGGATGTTGTATGTATGATGTATATAATAGAAAAATTACTGAGGATGTTGTGTGTATGATGTATATATTGGAAAACTTACTGAGGATGTTGTGTGTATGATGTATATATTGGAAACTTACTGAGGATGTTGTATGTATGATGTATATATTGGAAAAATTACTGAGGATGTTGTGTGTATGATGTATATATTGGAAAAATTACTGAGGATGTGTGTATGATGTATATATTGGAAAAATTACTGAGGATGTGTGTATGATGTATATATTGGAAAAAATGACTGAGGATGTTGTGTGTATGATGTATATATTAGAAAAATTACTGAGGATGTTGTGTGTATGATGTATATATTGGAAAAAATTACTGAGAATGTTGTGTGTATGATGTATATATTGAAAAATTACTGAGGATGTTGTGTGTATGATGTATATATTGAACATATTACTGAGGATGTTGTATGTATGATGTATATATTGAACATATTACTGAGGATGCTGTATGTATGATGTATATATTGAACATATTACTGAGGATGTTGTATGTATGATGTATATATTGAGCATATTACTGAGGATGTTGTGTGTATGATGTATATATTGGAAAGTCGTACAAAAGAAGACATGAGTGTGATGTTGGGTTTTTCCAAGGATTATAAGCTATTTCAAAGAAATCAGATGTTTGATCAAGAACTGTTAGAAACACAGAAGATTAATGTTTTGGAGAAAATGATCAGAAAACTGTGGTTTCTGGAGCTCGAGTTCTCTCCAGTTTTTTAGGACTGAATATTTTATGTTTAAATTACCTGTAATAATTGAATATAGATAAAATAAAATTCAACGTGGTTACTAACGTGCTATAAGAATCAAAATTATTACTCTAAAGCTAAATAATTCGTTCTTGTTTTCAGTGCCAAGATTAGTTGACCATGACGATTTCCAGCTGAACGGAAGGGACACGGAGTTATATCCTGAGACTCCAGACCAGCTTCGATTTTCACATAAATGTAAACAACGAAAACAATCCGAATGTGTTTTTTGTAAAAAGAATGGCGAAACGGTTCTCTTTTACAGAAGCCACGTACTCCGAAACGATGGTGGCAAAATCGTCTGTCCGGTATTAAGACGGTACAATTGTCCTTTATGTAACAATGGGGGAGGTGATAACGCTCATACGATTCGGTATTGTCCAAACAGGAGAATCTCTGGAAAAAAGGATCAAACTGGAAATGTTACACTTTAACTTCCGAAAAAATATATTACTTATAGAATGTTATTATACAAGAAAACAATAATAGGATAGATACAAATGTAGAAATACAAACTGAAAGACTTACTGAGGAAACTGTGTGTATTATGTACATATTTAACGGTCGACCGCTAGGTGGCAATAATCAATGTTAACCCTACGGGGGACAAATAGCTTACTGAATAGGAGATTCTTGTAAGAAAACTGAAATAATAAACTATTGTATGTTTTATACTTGACATATTTAACAGTCGAATATGTACTCCGCTAGAGGGCAGTAGTAAATTTTTAACACTTTACTGGTAGCCTTTCTTAAAACGAAATTCCTGTAAGAAGGATTACTGAAGTATCTGGATTTTTGTCGATCGAGGCCTTTATTATTTTAATAGAATTTGAGGTGGTTTTGGTTGCCCTAAAATGATTTATTTTCTTTTTTCTCGTTTCCAACGCCAGGTATAGGTAATTTGATGTTTATAATCGAACCATGGTGCAACCTGATGTGTATGGATTCATTTCGCTGATTGTTATTTAAAGTAAACATTACTATAATGAACGCAGCGTGTATATATATATATATATGTATCTATGTGACCGAAATAATAACTATAATGCGGCGCCATCTATTGAATGGCATCATAAACAATTTCACACTTTGGGTATTTAAGATTCAGATAATTATAAAAATAACTGTGGTATGCGCAACAACCATTTCTTTATAATAGAACACAATTTTAAATAAAAGTATTCTCCTCACAACAAGAACACGACTTTCACTAGGACTGTACGTGGGGGTTTTTATGTATTTATGTAAACGTTATATTCACTGGAATGTTGTTATAAAGAGTATGATCTTTACTCGATCATATATCCAGAGATATGTTCCGATGGGAAAATTCTGTATGCTACGCCAACCTTACCAGAATATCGAGGGTTTTTCATAGGTAAAGATCACACTCTTTTTAATAACATTCCAGTCAATATAACGTTTACATAAATACATTTTACAACAATGACGAACCAGTCAATATGGGGGGACCATTCATTAAAATTTCTGTTCAAATTCATTATTCACACACAAAAACGAGAATAAGGTTATTTATGTTTATCATATGGCTGGGAATTGGATTAATCCAAGAAGGATTCTTCGTGTTTATGGACGCAACGAATCTCTATTAAATACAGAGTGGATGGATTTATGATGAACACATCTAATGGGTGTAACATGTGTGTATATATATATATATATATAT